GTTGGTGAGTTTCTTACTTTATCACAAGGTCTTAGATTGTTTGTTCCAACATATCATTATAAAATTCTTTCAGTGTCTTGATCAAATTCCAGATACTGCATTCCACCAAAATTTCAAATATTTTAAAAGATTGATATGTTGTAGAAAGATTGACATCAAAGTTTTTCATTTTATAATTTGTAATGCAACTTCTGTAAATTTTATTACTAAAACTGTCCATTTATTATTGTATTCTAAGGAAATAATGAGAGTGGTATTTGTGAATTTTACCAACTCTTGTAAATAATTTCACTGAAATTCATTTATTATCACGAGTCACTATTACCACATTGATTGACTAGTTCAATCCTTACTATGGACCAATATCATATTGACAAGTGGTTTTGTGAAAATAAAAAAATACTCTGTAATAAAATGGAGGAATATTAAAACAGAACAAGTAATTCTCAGTCTCTCTCAAATTTTGGAAACTCTCTCACTCTTTTCTCTATTCATTCAAATTCAATCCTCAAATTTCAATTAAAAAAAACATGACATCGCAAATTAATCAAACTATTAGAATGAATGCATCAATCTCAAAGATAAAGATTGAAAGTTACCGACAGGGTGCATCACGATCGGGTAAAGATTTTTACGATTTCGGTCTGTACATGTGTATTGCGGTCGTCGTGGTGTGAATTAATCACAATTTATTCTTCAATATAGAAAACAATGATAACAAGATTTTTTTTAAAACCCTGGTTACCAGTACAAAATGCGACGTCGAAGGTGAGATGGTTGAGCGGAGGTTGCTTCCTTCAGGGGGTGATCACCAGCAGTGCGATCCTTGTGGAAAGGAGTTGTTAGGTTGCGGTGCTGCACCATTTGTGGTTGCGGATTGGGCTGGTCCAAAAGCAGCACATGTGATCGGAGTTTTGTGGTGGAGTCGATGAAGGATTCATAGCCGTGGGATGACCTCTGCAGAGGGAGGTTCTTCATTGTGCGTACGACTTCTGTTTTAAATAAATAGAATATTTCTAAGTGTTAGATTTTATGGTTGAAATTTATTTGTACTGTAAAATAGTTTTGAAATTGTGAGAAAATTAAGAATTGATAAAATCATTAAAAAAAATTTTATTGACGAGATATGTAGATTTTTCAGTAGAGTGATGTTAAGTTAACATTTTACGTTTAGTTTTTAAATTGAAGAATTGTGTCGATACTTTTTTAAAATAAATAATTCAATTAAGGGTTAAATATTTTTTTGTTTCTGGTAAATATCTCAAATTTTATTTTTAATCCCTATTAAAAAATGACATATTTTAATTCTTAAAAAAAATTTATTCATGCAATTTTAGTTCCTGCAATTTTCTAAAATTTTAAAAGCTATTTAATTACCTTTAAACTTTTAAACTTTTAAATAATTTTTTTATACATGTTTAAAATACTATAAAATGTTTCTTTATCAAATTTTATGAATTTTTTAAATTTCAAAATATATCAATGAAAGTAATGAAAATCTTGACTTAGAAATCAAATTTTGAATTCTTTTTTTTCATAGAACTTTTTATAACATTATAAACATGTCTGCAAAATTATCATTCAAGATTACACATCAGTTTAACAACAGAGACTAAAATTAGGTACATAATAATTTTGTAGGGACTAAAACATGTCTTTTATAGAGACAGAAAACAAAATTTGGTAAGTTAGAGAGACCAAAAACATATTTAAGCATTGAATCAATGCGTGCATAAGTGCTAAATCACTTAAAATTACCGTTGGGGAATTTATCACTTAAAATTCCCGTCGTTGAGTTTCATACTTTATCACATAGTCTTCGATTATAGGGACCAAAAACATATTTAGCCCTTAAATCAATATGTACATAAGTGTTAAATCTTTTAAAATTCTCGTTGGGGAGTTTCTTACTTTATCACAAGGTCTTAGATTTTTGTTCCAAGATATCATTATAAAATTTTTTCAGTGTCTTGATCAAATTCCAGATACTACATTCCACCAAAATTTCAAATATTTTAAAAGATTGATATGTTGTAGAAAGATTGACATCAAAGTTTTTCATTTTATAATTTGTAATGCAACTTCTGTAAATTTTATTACTAAAACTGTCCATTTATTATTGTATTCTAAGGAAATAATGAGAGTGATATTTGTGAATTTTACCAACTCTTGTAAATATTATCACTGAAATTCTTTTATTATCACGAGTCACTATCACCACATTATTTTTTTTATTTTAATCAACAATATATTTTTAACTATTTATAGTTATTAGTGATATTTATAAATATTTGTAGTTATTAAATATATTAGATTATCATCTTAGTGATTTGATACATATTTATTTTTAAATATTTATATTTATTAGTGATTTTATAATAATAATTATATACCAACAACAACCAAAATTTATCGAATAGCTGTTTTTTACTAGTAAAAACTAAAAATGAAAGATAATGATTGATTGGTTACCGACAAGGTGCATCACGGTCGGGTAAAGATTTTTACGATTTCGGTCCGTACATGTGTATTGCGGTCGTCGTGGTGTGAATTAATCACAATTTATTCTTCAATATAGAAAACAATGATAACAAGTTTTTTTTTAAACCCTGGTTACCAGTACAAAATGCGATGTCGAAGGTGAGATGGTTGAGCGGAGGTTGCTTCCTTCAGGGGGTGATCACCAGCGGTGCGATCCATGTGGAGAGGAGTTGTTAGGTTGCGGTGCTGCACCATTTGTGGCTGCGGATTGGGCTGGTCCAAAAGCAGTGCATGTGATCGGAGTTTTGTGGTGGAGTCGATGAAGGATTCATAGCCGTGGGATGACCTCTGCGGAGGGAGGTTCTTCATTGTGCGTACGACTTCTGTTTTAAATAAATTGAATATTTCTAAGTGTTAGATTTTATGGTTGAAATTTATTTGTACTGTAAAATAGTTTTGAAATTGTGAGAAAATTAAGAATTGATAAAATCATTAAAATTTGTTTTATTGACGAGATATGTAGATTTTTCAGTAGAGTGATGTTAAGTTAACATGTTACGTTTAGTTTTTAAATTGAAGAATTGTGTCGATACTTTTTTAAAATAAATAATTCAATTAAGGGTTAAATATGTTTTTGTTTCTGGTAAATATCTCAAATTTTATTTTTAATCCCTATTAAAAAATGACATATTTTAATTCTTAAAAAAAATTTATTCTTGCAATTTTAGTTCCTGGAATTTTCTAAAATTTTAAAAGCTATTTAATTACCTTTAAACTTTTAAAATTTTAAATAATTTTTTTATACATGTTTAAAATACTATAAAATGTTTCTTTATCAAATTTTATGAATTTATTAAATTTCAAAATATATCAATGAAAGTAATGAAAATCTTGACTTAGAAATCAAATTTTGAATTCTTTTTTTTCAAAGAACTTTTTATAACATTATAAACATGTCTGCAAAATTATCATTCAAAATTACACATCAGTTTAACAACAGAGACTAAAATTACGTACATAATAATTTTGTAGGGACTAAAACATGTCTTTTACAGAGACAGAAAACAAAATTTGGTAAGTTAGAGAGACCAAAAACATATTTAAGCATTGAATCAATGCGTGCATAAGTGCTAAATCACTTAAAATTACCGTTGGGGAATTTATCACTTAAAATTACCGTCGTTGAGTTTCTTACTTTATCACATAGTCTTCGATTATAGGGACCAAAAACATATTTAGCCCTTAAATCAATATGTACATAAGTGTTAAATCATTTAAAATTCTCGTTGGTGAGTTTCTTACTTTATCACAAGGTCTTAGATTCTTTGTTCCAAGATATCATTATCAAATTCTTTCAGTGTCTTGATCAAATTGCATATACTGCATTCCACCAAAATTTCAAAGATTTTAAAAGATTGACATGTTGTAGAAAGATTGACATCAAAGTTTTTCATTTTATAATTTGCAATGCAACTTCTATAAATTTTATTACTAAAATTGTCCATTTATTATTGTATTCTAAGGAAATAATGAGAGTGATATTTGTGAATTTTACCAACTCTTGTAAACTTTATCACTGAAATTCATTTATTTTCACGAGTCACTATCACCACATTATCTTTTATTTATTTATTTAATCAACAAAATATTTGTAACTATTTATAGTTATTAGTGATATTTATAAATTTTTGTAGTTATTAAATATATTAGATTATCATCTTAGTGATTTGATACATATTTATTTTCTAATATTTATATTTATTAGTGATTTTATAATAATAATTATATACCAACAACAACCAAAATTTATCGAATATCTGTTTTTTAGTAGTAAAAACTAAAAATGAAAGAGAATGATTGGCTGGTTCAATCCTTACACTACTAAAAAAAAAGACATTTGAGAAAAGGTTTTTACATCGGGTATCAAAATATATGATGTTAAAAATACAATTAACAAACTTTTTACATCAGGTATTTATTTGCAATGATATAAAAAATAAGAAAAAAAATATATTTCGCTACCTATTACATCGGGCAAATGCATCCACCGATGTAAAAAGTTTTCATAAAAAAATACGGTGGCATTTTTGTAAATAAGAAACAAGATAGTAGAAATATTAATAAAAAAAGTAACATATTACATCGGTTAACTAAAAACCGATGTAATATCTTCACAGTAGATATTAATATAAAAAATAAATTAAAGAATCAATTAAAACAATTACATCGGGGAAAGTTTAAACCGATATAAAAAAGTCAGAAAAAGAAGCTTGCATCGGGTATTAGTATCCACCGATGTAATAGGTTCAAAACCCTTACATCGGTTATTAGGATCCACCGATGTAATAGCTTCTCCACTATATAAAAATATCAGAAAAAGATTTGTGATATTTTGTTAACATTTATTTCACTTCAGACATGTTACCCACACGACAACCACAAGTTCCCGAAACTTCAATCCCCTTCCACATTTCACAGATTCATCTTCTTTGCATACTTCACTGCAACAAACTATCCCCATGGCTTCTCTTCTCAACGGCAGGCTATCTTTCTTACACCCCCAACACAGCCGCGAACCCCCCTTCTCCAAATTCCCCCACCACCCCAACCACTTCCCAATCCCCAAAACCCCCAAATCCAAACCCCTCAAGATCCGCGCCGATGTCAGCTACGAACCCCGCAACACCTCTTCCGATGACAAAATCCGCGAAATCCTCCGCAACCGCGACTACGACGCAAAATTCGGCTTCAACATCGACATCGATTCCTTCACCATCCCAAAAGGACTTTCCCACGAAACAATTAGGTCAATCTCAACCCTTAAATCAGAACCAGATTGGATGATCAATTTCCGTCTCAACGCCTTCGAGAAATTCTCCAAAATGAAAGAACCCAATTGGTCAGACAACACTTATCCATCCATCAATTTCCAAGATATTTGTTATTATTCCGCTCCGAAGAAGAAACCCTCTCTTAACAGCTTAGAAGAAGCCGATCCCGAGCTTCTCAGGTACTTCGATAAACTCGGTGTTCCGTTAAACGAACAGAATCGCTTAGCGAATGTCGCCGTGGATGCGGTTCTTGATAGTGTTTCGATTGCAACTACTCATAGGAAGACACTTGAGAAAGCTGGGGTTATTTTTTGTCCGATTTCCGAGGCCATTCGAGAGTATCCTGATTTGGTTAAGAAGTATTTAGGTAGAGTTGTTCCTAGTGAGGATAACTATTACGCCGCGTTGAATGCCGCTGTTTTTAGAGATGGATCCTTTTGTTATATTCCCAAGGATACTAAGTGTCCCATGCAGATTTCGACTTATTTTAGGATTAACGCATTGGAGACGGGGCAATTTGAGAGGACGCTGATTGTTGCGGAGGATAGAAGCTCCGTGGAGTATTTGGAAGGATGTATTACGCCTTCGTATGATAAGAATCAGCTTCATGCCCACTGTCCGCATACGCCATTTCCGTTCAGTACCCTTACGACCACCACAAAAACCGCAACTCTCCCTCCCGGCCCACTCCACATCCCCATCCTCACAAGCCTCCTATGGCTCCGAAAATCCTTCTCCCAACTCGAACCTTTTCTCAAAACCCTTTACGCCAAACACGGTCCCATCATCGCTCTCAGAATCGGTTCTCGACCTTCCGTTTTCATCGCCTACCATTCTCTCACTCACCACGCTCTCGTTCATAACTCGTCAATCTTCTCCGACCGCCCTAAAGCACTTCCCATCGGAAAGCTCATGTCCAGCAACCAGCACAATATCAGTTCCGCTTCTTATGGTGCCACGTGGAGAACCCTCCGCCGTAACCTGGCCTCCGAGATGCTCCATCCGGCGAAAGTCAAATCTTTCTCAGAAATCCCGAACTGGGTCCTTGACACTCTCATCAACCGTCTCAAAATGGCTTCGGAGTCTGAATCCTTTATGGTTGTTCCCCACTTTCATTATGCAATGTTCTGTTTACTTGTTTTTATGTGTTTTGGTGAAAGAGTTAGCGATGAGAAAGTTAATGAAATTGAACGCGTACAAAGGACGCTTCTGTTGAGTATGTGCAGATTCAATATATTAAATTTTATGTTTGTTTGAATTAGTTTATTTGGTGCTGGAAACTGTTTATACTTAAAATCTTCCAGGGAACACTTTTTACTTCAAAAGCAGAGAATAATCAAATTCAAAAATGCTTTAACATTCATTCAAAATTTATCACACCTCTGCTAATATTAAGTGCCAATTTTGTTTGATGTTCTATGAAGTCTGTTAACTTTATCATCTTTTACATTTCATCAGGCATATTCAACTGTTGGAACTCTTGACTACATGGCTCCTGAAGTTTTGCTCAAGAAGGGGTATGTAATAGAGTGTGATTGGTGGTCTCTTGGGGCAATCATGTATGAGATGCTTGTTGGATATCCTCCATTCTGTTCTGATGATCCAAGGATGACCTGCCGGAAGGTATTGCTGTTGATTGAATTTTACGTCCTTTCTATATCTTCTAAATTAATTATTTCCACCAAGCTGGTATTCCTGTATTGCGTCAGATTGTGAATTGGAAAGCATGGCTGAAATTCCCCGAAGAACCCAAGATATCAGCTGAAGCTAGGGATCTCATATGTAGCTTATTATGTGATGTTGACACAAGACTAGGAACAAGGGGAGTAGACGAAATAAAGGTAAAAACTCCCATGGGATATTGTTTGTTTGGGAGACTCCCATGATGTAAAACTATTTATTTTCTAATTAACTACTTAGAAACATTTTTCTCTATATATATTTTATTTTATTTTTTAGAATATTTTGGATTTTTTTTAAAGGAAATAATAAGTGAATTTAGAAAATTGGTATTGTGCTCACTCGTTTAATTTTAAATGTAGAACATGGTTTAAAACAAAATATAAACAAACATTTTACTTCACTCCTTATCACAAAATGTACGTTATTGTTTGAGAACCATTTTTATCTCTCTGTCGTTTAAATAATAATCACCAAAGACTCATGTATCACATAACACAAAATCACACACACATATATACTCTTTTAATTAAGAATTACCTCAATTAGTTATATTGTATGGTCATATTCCTAAACTAAAATCTTAAATTTCAATCGCCAAGAGAATATTAAGAATTTAAGCTATTATAGTTGATCATTCTTAATTTCTCTCTCTCATAATTATTTACTAAAATCAAAACACTAAAACTAATATGTTGAATTAGAAATTAAATCTCAATACATTATTTTTCCTTAAAATTATATCATTCCTTATATAATATTTGGTGCTTAAGCTTTTTAATTTTTTTATGAAATTCCATATTGTTCTTAACATGGTGAACACAAATAATTTCTAAAAGTATAATAAATTGTATTCTAAATTTATATAAAATTGATTCATAATTTTCTAAGTTTGTATTTCTCATTGTATCAATTTAAATTCATCATTTATTATTGATTAATCTGTATGGAATCTAATCAAATAATATTCATTAATCGCCAAATTAATTAAAAAAATAGAAATCAATCTCAAGATAACCATATCTTTTTCAACCATTAGATATTATTACTTATCGGTCATCATTCATTTTTTTAGTTGGTCTAATTCTAATTCACTGTATTTAATTTCTAATAATTATATTTATATCACATCAGGAGACATGTGAATAAACCTCTAATTATATATATAGAAATATTTTATCAGTTAAACTTAAAATTATAAACAAAAAATTTCAAACGATATTTTCATCCTACATATGCTAAACATCAATGTGGAACATGTTGCGTGATAATTTCACAATTTATTACCAACATCAATTTTACTCCAAATGTCATCATCAACTACACATATATTTTACATATATTTTAGAACTTAAATAGAATGAAGTAATGAGTAATGAATTAGAGTGTTATAAAAAATCGGTTAACTTATTTTAATTTTTGAGTATATGTGATTTATTATAAAGAGCCAAATATAACAATAACAATAATAATAATATTAATAATAATAATGATAATAATAATAATAATATAATTATATTAATAAATGTAAAATTATAAAAATTCAACAAATACATAAGTTTTTAGAAACAAATTGAATTTTTAGAATAATATGAAGGACTTATAAACAAGATATAAATAATATTAAATAATTATTAATGGCAATAATTTTTTTAGTGATAAATATATAGATGAGTTTGTAAATCAACTTTAAAATAAATTGTATTTTAAAAATAATACGGAGGATATTCTATGTGCCAAATATAAAGAAATAATTTAATTTACAGAATAATAATAAAAATTATTATTATTATTATTATTATTATTATTATTATTATTATTATTATTATTATATAATATTATTATACAGAAATTTATTCTAATTCAAAAAAATATATAAACATTGATTTTATTTATAGAGTAATTAAAAAAGTTCTCTTAAATTTTGATTATGAAATATGTTTTAGTTATTTTTAAGTAATTATTATATACGAGTATGTAAATCCATTGGAAAATAATTGAATTTTACGAATAATATGAAGGGTTTATGAATGGACTTTAAATGATTATTATATGCTCAAAAAAGAGTAAAATTAAGATTTAGATATCTTATACTACTTTTATAAAAGTAATTGAAAATACTATATAAAAACTTATGTTATTATATATGTTTTTTTAATTATATTATTATATTTAGATGCATAGAACTTTTCAAAATATATTTAGGTGCACAAAAATTCGTAAATAATATAGAATATAGTTCCGGAAAATAATTGATTTTAAAATATAAAAGAAATTAATTGGTTAGAATATAATTAGGGTTGAGCCTATATTATATTCAATTAGACATATCATAATAATGTTAGGGTTTAAAATTACGGTTGCTATCATGACAATTTTAGATTTATAATAAGTAGATATGTTGTCATCCAAAGATATGAAATATAATAATCATTGTCTTATTAGTTATATAATTATTAACATTTTTTCTATAATTTTTAAAAATAAATACTAATAAAAAAAATAATATAATGTCATGCAAGACATGAGCACACACACTAATAATATAAGTAATCATTGATCGTATCAAATGGTGATATTTGATTTGATATTTGATGATATTTTTGTTTGTCATTATTTTGATTACATCTTTTTTTATTCTGATTATGTGTTATTGTTTAAAAAAATATGTTGTAAATAAGATATAAAATACAAATGACTAATTTCGAAGCACTAATAGTGTAAAACTATTTTAGACACGGCATACAATCAAATTACTTTGTACTATAACTTTTAAGGTAAACTCCAAAAATTTCTCTATAAATATTTATTTATCAAGATTTGATTGGATGCAAGTTGTAAAATACTTTTTGAATATTGATTTCTAAATATAAATCAATATCAAATGGCAAATCAATTATCGCCATGATATTTATTATATTCACAATTCACGATTGGTTGAGTAAAAGTAAATTTATATCCTTTGTTTCCTTAAAGGGATATTATTATTTTCACTATAAATTGCACTAAACACAATGAGAATCATGTTAAAACCTAAAGAAATAAAAACTTGACATAGAAAAGTGAGTGAGAAAATAGTTCAGCTCATCAAAAGTTTTCATCTCTACTTATACTCCTTTTTGTAAGTTTAATATTTTTTTTCTTTTTATGCTTATATATAACATGGTTTGTAGTTAGTTTATTATGTATTTTTATGCATGCTTTAGTTTTATAATGTCAAATACTCATAATAAATTTTTATTCAAGACAATTTTGTGTAATTATTTTTCTTCATATAAGTTAATTTATGTTTTGTATTTTAAACTTTTCTTTAGAAATATTAATTATATAAAATTTTATGTAATATTTTTTATTTACTTATCTTGTTTAAAGTTATTATATGTATTGATGGATAATTAAATTTTGTGATCAAGCTTAAAGAAGAACTTTGATGGAAGGAAGGGGAAAAAAGAAGTCAATATTTGGAAAAATAAAGCAAATATATTCAAAAAAGCGTGGAAAAAAGAAAGAAAGAACATGGGATGAGATAGAGCAAAGGTGGGATGAGATGGAGAAAGAGTTGGATGAGATAGAGAAAGAGATGTATGGGATACAGCAATCTTCTGATACATCTTCTGATACATCTTCTGATACATCTTCTGATACATCTTCTGATACATCTTCGGAGCAATCTTCGGAGCAATCTTCGGAGAAATCTTCTGAGAAATCTGCTGAGAAATCTGCTGAGAAATCTTCTGAGAAATCATCCGAGCATATTGAGGAGGGGGAGGTAGATCCAATCCCTTCATATAATTCTACACAACATTATTATTATCCTCCACAAACTCAACAAGTAATTCAAGAAAATACACATCCATGGTACCCTTCTTACTCTTCACATTATAGTGGAAACCATTCACATAATAGTGATGGAAATACACAACCATGGTATCCTTCATACTCTTCACAATATAATGGGAATCCTTCACAATTTATTGATGGAAATACACAACCATGGTACCCCTCATACTCTTCACAATATAGTGAAAATCCTTCACAATATAGTGATGGAAATACACAACCATGGAACCCTTCATACTCTTCACATTATAGTGATGAAAATACACAACCCTGGAACCCTTCATCTTCATTTTCAAGTGATGGAAATACACAACATGGATATACACATAACACCTCATCATATTCTTCACACTTCAGCAGTGGAGATACACAAGCCAGTAACTCTTCCTATTCTTCAGAGTATCCTCAACCAAATTACTATTCTAATAATGGACAAAACGTCCAAAGGGAGAATGAGTACTTAAGTGATGAAAATACAGAAGGATGTTCCATGATGTAAAACTATTTATTTTCTAATTAACTACTTAGAAACATTTTTCTCTATATATATTTTATTTTATTTTTTAGAATATTTTGGATTTTTTTTTTAAGGAAATAATAAGTGAATTTAGAAAATTGGTATTGTGCTCACTCGTTTAATTTTAAATGTAGAACATGGTGTAAAACAAAATATAAACAAACATTTTACTTCACTCCTTATCACAAAATGTACGTTATTGTTTGAGAACCATTTTTATCTCTCTGTCGTTTAAATAATAATCACCAAAGACTCATGTATCACATAACACAAAATCACACACACATATATACTCATTTAATTAAGAATTACCTCAATTAGTTATATTGTATGGTCATATTCCTAAACTAAAATCTTAAATTTCAATCGCCAAGAGAATATTAAGAATTTAAGCTATTATAGTTGATCATTCTTAATTTCTCTCTCTCATAATTATTTACTAAAATC